GTTAGAATCACCGCAAGGTAATTTTACGTAAAGTTTTGTTGAAATTGGTTCAAAAATGTAGGAAATCCAATCCAATATATAAACGTACAGACACACACACACACACACACACACACACAATCTGCGTTTTATAATAAGTAAGATTACATCCCTATGTTTGGAGAAATGTTATATTCTGAGTATGGGACAATAGGTTGCAAGTTCTAATGTTCAAATGTAATGAGCGGGAATAGCCTGATTTATCTTTCCAAGCAAAATTGAAACCACTAAATAGTCAAATACAAATATAGAAATAATTTTAACAAGAATTGAATTTTTCTTTTTAAATCTGTGTCAAAAAGATAATTTTTTTTTTTTTTGGTTTATCAATCATCCTTTTTATTGATTTAATTAATCTTAGTTATACATAAACTTTGAGACATTTGATGTTTTAATTTAATTACTATGAATCAGTATTTGAAATGAGTCACAATTCTGCCAATAAAAATGTTATCAAAAAATAAAATACTATTGAAAACTCTTTAATCTCTGAGAGTTAGTATTTTTTAACTATTTAATCAACAAGTAAAAATATTATATATTTATTATAATCTTCACACTTTAAATTATTTTACTTTACATCAAACAGTTAAACCAGATATAAATTTATCAAAAATGTGTCTTTCCTTTTACGCTATTTATACTAAAAAGTTTATGTTGTTATTTATATTTTATTTTTGTTTAAATAAAAAATGAATACAGAACATAATCAGTAACTGCAAAATTAAACCATTTTGTATAATAATGTAATACAGATTAGTCTTTGAATTACAAAAAAAAATGAATAAAATTAGCTCTTCTTTTTTGCCTTTTTTTTTTTTTTTTTTAACTTTTTTTTTAACTTTTTTTAAGGTATAATAGGTCTTTTTATGTTTGTAATGAGATTTTAAATACTGTAATTATAAAATAAGGAGTTACATTTTTACTAAAATTCAGTGAATGATACTTTAAAATTGGATATCATATAAAATTAATAAATAATAGTAACTCTTTAGGCATTAAATATATGAGGGATGTTGAAAAGTTTTCTAGTTCACCAAGGTGTGTGTGTGTGTGTGTATATATATATATATATTTTCAAGTTTGATTTAGGAAGTGTAACACTTCCTAAATCAGACTTGTAAAAAGCAATAAATTTTCTACATTCTTTTTTAGTCATACATACATGGGTTTTCACTTTGGTAATTGATATAAAAACAAAAAATATATTGTTGCAAAGTAACAAAAATTTTTAATTTTTTCAAATACAGCATTTAGTATAAGGTTCTCTCCCTAAACTTAAGGAGAATATCTACCTTTGTTCTGTCAGAAAGCAATTTTTAAATCCCCACACTTTCTAAAACAGATTTTTTTTATATATTTTATTTATTTTTTAAAAATAATTTTAAATCTTGACTACGGTTAGTTTTTATCTCATAAGGAGGATCTGGTACTATGTAGTTGTAACGTAACCTAAAATAGTGGTTACCATATTAGAAAGATTAAAATATTCAATCCATGGTGACTACACAGTATAGCTATCAAATTATTGAAGGTACTTTAATGTCTCCAATTTTATTCCTTGCTATCTAATTTAACTCCCTAATCTTGAAGAAGGCATATTGGGCACATGGCATCACATTTTTGACATTTTCTGTTAAATCTGTTTCTGTGTTTGTAATCATTTTTATTTCTTGCTTTTCATTCTTTTTTATCATTTCCATTCCAGTCTTTGAAGCATTAATTTCCCATCACTTCATTTTTACTTATTTCAATCTTTACAATTCTTCAAAACTACAAGAGTCCATTGATAGACAAAGAACTTACTTATACTCTTTAGATAACTTGTCCTAGTTCATACAGCCTTTGCCTCAATGATAAAATTGAATAACTAAATGCTTTTATACTAAAAAGTTTCCTTTCAATAAATAGAACATTCTTAGGTTTCTCTTGATGGTTTTGGAAAATACTTAAGGTTACAACAATATATCATTATTTCTAACTTATTAACAATTTGTTGAATGTTGGCATTACTTAAGTAAATTTAGTGATTTTTTTTTGTTCAAACCATCTGCAACAGTTGATTTTAAAGCATATTATACAATGTAATTGAAGAATATTTAAAGGTTATTCCAGTTAAGGAAACAAAGGAATTGACATTAACATTACTAAAATACTGAAATTATAAAAACTTTTTATGCTTCAAAATATGTAAATAATAGTCATGCCATATCAAATATTCTCCTGAAATATGTACTTGCTTTGTGCATTTATGATTTTAGAAAAACAATTTATGAATATTGAGTTAAGCATTTCAATTTTTTAATCTTAAAAAAAAGTTAATGTACAAAATCAAAGAACTGAACCCAGTAGGTGAATAATGCAACCTTAAATCAATACAGATATCTTGTTTTTATTTATTGAATGCAACTATTTTATGTGAATATTTTATACATGGACACATACATTTAAATCTAAAGTATATGGACTATGGCTATTTTAGTTGTATATAAACAAAATGCCCTGTTTATCACTATCATATTTTCAAAATAGTGATTCTTAAAAACATGAAACAATAAAGGCTTTTAAAAATGTTTAATATATAAATATTAAACCTATAACGTTTGAAAAGCCAGAGGAATACTTTAACACACTGACATATTTTAAAGGAACTCTTCTCATTTTTCTTGTCTATTATGTGATCTGAGACAAAAACTTACAAAATATTTTATGTCACAATCAGATCTTAGATAATAAATGTGTTTCAATTCTACATCTAAAAAAAAATCATTATCTTGCACAGTATAATCATAATACTATTTTGTCTCAAAATAGTTATTACATTTGTATATATATTTTTTATACTAAATGTAACATATTATAGGACAGGAGTAGTACTATTATAAAAGATCCTTCTTATAAACGTAATTGTTTTTTTTTTTTTTTTTTTTTTTTAATTACTCAATTCTATAAGAAAATGTTTATTCCTGCATACATGCTCACATTTTAATACAGAAGTTTAATAAAGTACATATTTGAGCAAAGGTTAAATTTTGAATAATTCCCCCCCAAATAATTTTTGTCACACAGCAGAAAGATATCTACATTGTAATAAAATTTTAAAATAAAATTTTAAATATTCAAGAAGGATAACATCTGAAGATGGTGAAATTTTTAAATCATAATTCCTTGTTCCAAAATGTGAGTAACAAATAATTTTGAGTCTCTCCGTATAAATATAAAAAAAAAAAAAACTTATTGTTTTCTTGAATTTTCTCATTCTGCATCTTATTCTTTTTTCATGTTTTCAATATTCATTAGATTGTATTTTTATTTTGTTTATTACTGCTGTTACTTTTTCTCCTCAATATGGCTTTTAAATAAGTTATTTTTTATATTTGGTATTGTGTGTGTTAGTAAAAATGTGAGGTTAGTTGATCAATACAGATACACACATTCAAAGATAAAAGTATATAGTTTTAGCAAAGAAAACCACTTACAGAACAGTTAATTGATGTTGGCTTCTGTATTTTTAGCAGATATTAACTCAGTTAAAACAACAGATACCAAATTCTTATTTTTGCTAATTGTTATTGATTAAAGTCTGATTTACCACTACTGTATTTTTTCTCTCTTTCTCTGTTTTTATTCTGCTTGTCTATAATCAGTAATTTTGTATGAAGAAACTACATCCTCACAGGTGTATACACTTAACTTTTAAAAATGGTGCCAGCAAAGTATCCTCAGTCTTCTGTCATACTACATTAGCATCAAACTAAATATAAGACTGACTTAAGTTCTACTGTAACACAACTCTCAAATTGTCACTGATATGATCTTTAATGGATCCTGTAAGCCAAAAGCAGCAAAAGACAGAAAGTAGTAGAGAACCATAATTATTCACATTGTGAAAAGACGTAGCAAGCACAGAAAAATGCATCCTTCTATTGAAACAAGCATTCCTACTGGCTGGCAAAAGATTTTTATTAAAAAATGGGGATTTTTCTTTTTAAACTTTTTCTTTATAATGGCTCATATTTACTTATCTATAAATTGAATAAAAGTATTAATAGCAATTAAAGTGATTACAGATAAGCATTCTTTAATTGCTGATTAGGTGTTAATAGTAATATTTATTTAACTATACAGCAAGACAATATGCAGAGAACTAGAAGACCTACAGTTAAAAATTAAAGTAAAAACTAAAGTTAACTATAAATTTGAAATGTAGTTAGTTTGTCTAATTACAGAATAATCACCTTTTCTTAGCTGCTGATAATTATAAATTCTATAAAAATAGACTTAATTCTTGAGGTGTATTGTTCATATACTTCATTAAATGTTTAGATTTTTTCATGCTGTGAACTGTTTTATAAAAATTAAACTTAAATGATTGGATTAAATTTACTAAAACTATACATTCAGACACTGACTGAAAAAATGACAACAAAATGGGACTATTATATATGTGAAAAAGTTTCACCAATTTTATTTAAAAAGAAATAGAAAATTTTCTACTGTGTACTTAGTGTCTGAATTTAAAGTAAATAAAAATTCCCATAATTTGTATTTATTGGATTAAATTAAACTTCATTAGATTTAATGAAAGCAATCACGAAAATAGATGTTGATAAAACAGGTTATGATGACAAGTTTTTACTTAGATATAATATCTATATCTTCCTTAAATCTCATTGTAAACAAATACCAGCATTATACTCACGTTTTATGAAAAAGTTTTTGTAAAATGCTTTATGATAATTTCAGCTGAAAATACCAAATATTTCCAGATTGTTGGAAATTTTGTTATAAAAGTAGATGAGATGGAAATTTTGTAATTTCTGATCTTTTTTAATGATTAGTGAAGTTTACAAATACATTGAAATAATGTTATAACAATAAATTCAATAGAAAATAATGGCATATCAAATACTTTTCCTATGCAAAGAAATGTAAACTTTTTTTTTTTTTTTTTCCTTCAGTTTCTTCTAATTTTCCGCAAAGCAGCTGCAGAAGAACTAAACACTGACAGTGGACTTTATGAATTGTATCAGAATGTCTGGGAAATTGATGTTGATAAAGAAGGAGTGAAAGGAGCTAAAAACTTCTTTGAAGCAAAGGTAAGATTTTGATATTATCTGCATCAATAAGCTTGCTTGTTTTTCCAGTTGCTGTTAGTTTATAGGTACTATTGATACTGCCTTCTCAACTAGTGGATTCAAATCCAATAATTATTCTAAGTGGATGAAATTTATTAAAATTGTCATTGGTCAGATTTTGAGAAATGATTCAGACCCAAGACTTTTGAGCACCCCACTTACATTTACAAATTTATCCATAAAGTTTCTTGAATTTTACAGTTTGTAAAAATAAATGAAAGCATTTAAAGTACTGTTATGGGACCTTACCCATAATAACATAATGGACTATGCCTTACGTAATAAATACTGCGCCTCAAGAAGAAGCAGGGAGTTCAGTCTGAAGTCTGGAGTGAAGTCTGTCAGTCAGAGCGAGTCAGTCAGTCGAGTCAGTCTGAAACAGTCGCATTCAGACAATTACTACTAAACCTGATTGTTCGTACTAACACTTTTCTACCTCTCTGTATATATTCCTGTTTGTAATATATCTGTGTTAATCCATATCCGTATTCGAGTTCTTCTTTATTGGTTCTACCTTGGACTATCACTGTGGTACAAGGAACTGGACCATAACAAGTACAAATCTATAGAAAGTAATAGATATTATTTAGTGAGTGGTGATGCGACTTTTCTGAGCATTTCTAAGCCAAGATGTACACAAAATATTTTGTCTATATTTCTGGGATGAGGTATTGTAATTATTTACACTATTTACATTGTTTAGACTGTTGTCCTCATCTTCATTGCTATATTCACAACGTTTCAGCTGTTTTATGCTCTGGCCTTCTTCGGGTGATTGGAATTTCAAACTGAACTCTTTATTTCGTACACATGGCCCAGTGGATAAAAGTATTGGTTGAATCCAGTGACTTAATTCAAATAGTTGTGAGTTCAATACCTGGCTACAGCTGGGCTGAACAAAAACTTGGAGAGTTGATTTAAAGGGAGATAATTGATACTGAGACATGTGGAAGAGGTATGGCATGTCAAGCTAGAACAATCTACCCCACTGGATGAAATAAAGGGTTCAGTTCGAAATTTTAATCACCTGAGAAGGCCGGAGCTGAAATGTTGTGAATATGGCAAAGAGAATGAGGGCAACAGTCCGAACAATGTTAATAGTGTAAATGACAAAATATTTTTTTCTAATTAATTTTTTTTCTATTTTTGACTATTGATCATACAATACAAAGAGTATATAGAGAGGGAGCAAGGATTGCATATTATGAGGATATGTAGGATAGATAACATTTGTCTCTTGACTTTAACGTGGTTAAGATTGTAGCAACCAGGGAAAAATTATTTTGGGACTCTGTTTCACATTGCAGCAGTTATGAGGAAGAAGATGTCTGAATGAAACTGATTCCTTACCAATAGTATATGAAGGGAATTAGGATAAGTTGACTCGGTGTATGTGGCATGGTAGATCCTAGCTATGAAGGGTATTGCTGCCACATCTGGATCAGAGCTGCCCAATCTACATTTACTAGCTTCAGCCAAGTTCAAAAATGTTTTCACAGCCTTGTGAACCAAGCAATATAGTTTGCTCAATCATATGCCATGAAAATAGCAATAGAGCTAGTAACACTTCGATTGTGGGAAAGGAGTTGAAGGGTGGAAAACAATTCATCACTCACAAAACATTTTTGAACTTGGTTGAGGCTGGTAAATGAAGATTGGGAAGCTCTAGTCCAGATGTGGCAGCAATATCCTATTTTTGGTCTGATCTGGCTCTTGTAAAGATAGAGCATGGTAGGTAGAGTAAAGTACTTTCTGGATTGGTACAGGGAGCTTACCATTTTTTTCAGTGTCTTTAGAGATGGATCATACATACAAGTTCCACTTGAGGTCTGGTGTGAGCTTGAGTCCTGATGTTCCGGGAGCCTTATTGAGAGTACAACTGCTCATCATGACTGGAAAAAACTCAGTCTGCTCTGTGATGATGAAACATTACTAGTTTTGTTTGGAAGTGTTGAATAATGTTACAAGCCAATTCTTCCCTCACCATTGAGTTTGTGAGCAATGTCAGAAAAGGGAGAGCAGTGCCAGGTTCTGGTCATCTAGATTTTTAGTGGTTCTCTCATAAACCATGGTATTGCCTGCATATATATTTACTAGTGATCTGAGAATGTTCTTAGCCCTGAGAATGTTATTAGTATGTAGTAGAAAAAGGGTACTACCAAAGAGAGCCTTGGGGGATGCTGGCATCAATCTCATAGGTGTCAGAGGACTGGCCATTAACAATGCATTTGATGGAACTACCTGATAAGGACTTGATAATTGAGAACACTCTCTCAGAAATGCCATAGATGAGGAGTCAGCTGTAACAGCTTCCCTAAGCCACACTTTCTCAAAAGCCTTTGAGATATCTAAGATCTTGTGGATTTATTATCAAGCCCTTCACTGATTGTATTCATAATGACAGTTAAGATATCAGCAGTGAATGTAAAGGTACAAAATCCATACTGTTTGTCACTCAAGAGGTTATTTCTGTTGAGATGACTGTCAACCTTCTTGTTGATAACACTGAGAAGGCTGATAGAGAAATATTGTGATGGGGATGGTGAGTGCTCACCTGTATTCTTGTAAACTAGGAATACAACTAACACCTTTCATATACCTGGGAAATAAAGGTTAGTATTTATTTAGTAAAACAGTTTTAATCAAAGATTTTTATTTCCTATAAAAACCTGTAAGACTATAACTTGAAAATAAACCAATTATCTAAAAGGCATTTTTATTTCATTAAATTCTACTGGATTTACTTGTTTTTGTTTATGATCGTTACTTCTTTTCTCTATGGTAGCTAAATTGACTTAAATTTTTTGTACAGATCTCTTAATAATTCCACCTTTTTATAACACTGTTTGTTCACATTGTTTAAAAATTAATATTTATATACAGGTTGTTTTAATATTTACAAATATTCAAATTTATAGTGACCAAGCTTTTTTTATATTCTGTAACATTTTGAAATTTTCTTAATATCTTCATTTAAGGGATAAATGGATAATCAACTATAAAATCAAAAACAACATTACAATGACAAACATTACCAGTGGTTATCTCTATTAAAAGACAAGTTGAGAATTTTTATTCATAATAGATAATAGAAATTATTTAAATATTTGTCAGTATTTGAAATGAATAAAATTGAGTTTAAAATATCTTTAAAAAAAAACTTACATAATCATGGATCAAAATAAGACTTCAATGACTTTAAAGTTTGACTATTAAAAGTAATTATGCAGAACCAGTTTTGTTTTCTGAACAAGACTATTTTGGTGAGTTCAATCATGAACTCCTTAGTTTAGCTGACTTTTAGCAAATATTGGAGTGTAGGGAACATTTGTGAAACTAACTTCCAAGAGGTTGCTTCCCTGATCACTACAATCTTAACCTGTTCAAATCTAGGGTTAACCATTATCTTCACAATAAATCCTCATAAACTGTGCCCCTCTGTAACCTTCTATCTTGAGTGGCTCTTTGGATTTATACAGGATAAACATTATTGTAAAAAAAAACCCCAGAAAACCTAGCTTTCTTATGTTTGGCTCATAAGTTTTTTCTTTAAGAGTTAATCTTGTAAATAAATGCAAATAATGCCTTCCTCTTTATACAAATGATTTATAATATAAAAGGATGATTTTTTCTTTAAAAAAATCTACATTGAGTAATGTTTATATTAGTAAAGTTTGTAAACTTTATAGGCAAGAAAATTAAATCCCATTAACTTATACGTCATACCATTTTTATTTTTTTTAAATTCTGTTTATTTTTTTTTATTTGATTAATGAAATCTTCTGACTGGATTAGAAAAATATTTTTTATCATTATTATTTGATTAATTTATGACTAAGTTTTATTTGTTTATTTTAAATCTGTTTATTGCATAACATACCTTCATTATAAGAAAACAAAAACAGATTTGTATGGATACAATTTTCCTATAAATATAAGATGCATAAACGTTAATCCACAATAAATATAATTTCAAGCATTCTCCCAATGTGCTTTGTTGTAAATATGCATAGAATTTTAATAGTCTGTATAAGTTCCTGAATACTACATAATAGCATCCATATTTTGCTAATTTCATCTAGTTCAACTTTAAGATATGTAAACAAGATTTAATTTTTTTATTATTAAAATTAATGCAAACAATTGACAGAAATATTGGCTTTAGTCATTTAAAGTTGACACAGCAGCAATTTTAAAAAAAAATATGAACTGAGCTCAGTTAGATGGAAACAAAATAGATAATTTCCTATGTAGTGGATGGCCTACTCCCTTGGGCTTGTTTTAACTGTCTATATGAATATATATATGGCAGTAGATATTCCTTATAAATATGATGAAACAAGACCATCAGGAATCTTTTTCATATTGCATTTTAATGAGAAATGAATATACAAACAATAACCAAACTATTGATGATATCATTTTACTTTACTCTAATTAGTATTAACTGTACAGAAAAGGTCTTCAAATATCTACTACAGTATTATAGTACTCAATAACAAATGATGCAAAATGATAACAAATAATGGATATAAAAAAAAAAGAAAAAACCCATTTAAATAAAATATTTTTCCAGTATGTCTTGACTGTTTTTGTAAATTAATATCCAAACTGAAAAAAAATAAACATCCATCTTTGTACCTTATTAAATTTCACATGGTATTGTACATTGTTGGCATCAGAGAAATACAAACAAATGCTGTTCCTATTTAAAAAATAAAACAAAAACAAAAATGACATATTGAACAAGTCTATCCTGTTCTATAAGAGAAGTCCATCAATGTTTGGCAACCATACTTAAATTTTCTATATTCACTTCCAAGTGAATTGAGAATTTACACTGCATCTCCTATTATCAACCACTTCATGTTTTCTCGATATATAAAATGAATACTTATTGGTTTATTTACTGAATGCTGGCAACATCTGTCTGCACAGCTAAGATAAAATCTGGTTTGTTC